AGATTGTCCCGATACACTTCATTCCCATTGATATAGGCAATCACTCCAGCCTTGTAGTACAATCGCACATCATAAGCAGCCATATCAGAAAGACCCACAAACTGTTTGCGGAAATACTGAGTTCCAGACATTGCAGGAATTGGATCAGAGCCAAGTGTAGCATTTATCCAAGAACTATCGGAGAAAGAGTAATCAGTCCATCCTGAAGAAGCACTTCCAGAGACTATTTTCCACGTAGCATTCTGTTCAATACCGTAATACAAAGAAAGAGGATAGGTTCTTCCACTCGCATCAACCAACAAAAATTTGAATACAGCATTCCCATATTTGCCATATATAGTAAGATAAGAACCACTGGACCAACTAGTACCAGATGTAGTGAATAACACAATAGTATACTGATTATTTAATGAAGAGGTCAAGCATTGCTCAGTAATACGAGTTTCATTGTTAATAAAGCCAGAACCAGTGTAAAGAGTAGTAACGCCAGATAAAACTACAAATATCTCATCATTCACATTTTCGTAACCAGAAACTTTTACAAATTTCATATAGGTTTGTCCAGAGTCACAAGTAATGACGCTTAGCGCAATCGAGACTAAAAGTCAGTGTTTTGTGCATATCCGTACTTAGTATACAGAATAATAATAGATACATACTGCACAATTGAATTTTGACTACAAAAGCAGAATAGATTCGTTTCCAAAGGTAAAATGGCTATTTTTAGAGATATGTCTCAAAGAAATATATGATTAAATAGCTATAGGTGTTCACTATCGATAAATCCATTAATAGGAGAAAAGGCACAAAGACTAATGACTTCCTTATTACTTAAGTAATAAATGCATATTATTTGGGATAATCGATACTACGAGGAATAAAGAACATGTTAATTAATGATTATTAAATTCATGAAGGCAAAATGGAGAGCGAATGTGGAATTCCTACCAAAAGTGAAATGAGATGAAATCAATGGTGATAAACCATAGAAGAGAAGGATATCCTTATGATCAACACAATAGTTCAGACAGGATGACAAAAGTAGATATTCAATTATCAATGCATAGTGAACCTATCGTTAGATAATACCAAACTGATATATTCAAATAGCCAATATCTGCAAAAGAACAAAAGGGGTATTATAACGAGTATGAATACAACAAACAATAGTACTGCACTTGGGAAATACAAGCAATAGCATTCTTTGGTGTTTAATAAGGATGTTTCTAGTAGATGTCCATGAAAAGCGGGTAATCGTTTAATAGAGAGAGATTCTATGTCTCACAGATATGACAATAACCAAAAGAATATCATTGCTAATGCAAATAGAGATGATTCATATATGTTGACTATATATGGAGGCAATGAATCTAAACTTATCGATAAATGCTTCATTCCTATTACTTGCTTTAGATGAGGATAGGAATAATGCTTCGTAAAACGTTAAATCGCAATATGAAACAATGCGTGGTTAAATCATGAATGTGATGGAAGAACACACTACCCGAATGAATACAACGTTGTGATTATAACAGAGACATCTGATAGTAATCACAATCACAGATATTGGGTGGAAAAGCATTCAAAATCTAAATTGAATGAATGGAATAAGAAGACCCAAAATAAGTGATGTGAATTCAATATTCGAAAAACAACAATAGAATGAAGTGGATTGGATTCATTGGATTCATTCAATCTGAAGAGCAGGGAGAAAGCGGATGGGATCTTCCTGTACACACAACTCGACATATCCACCAGCAGCTTGCAAATCGCTTTCACGAATGCCATCCACCAGCAAGGATTCACTCCACTCTCTCGCACATGCTTCCAGATTCGCATAACCGCGGGAAACGACAACACCGAACAACCCTCAATGAGAAAGTTCACCAGATTGAGTGTGGCAGGACTGGGAACCACGGCGTGGGGAGACGAAGGCAGATCACCGCTCAGTTTCTTCATAGTCGAAATGGCCTCGTAAAGCTGATTTGTCTACAGAGAAACAAACTATCCAGAAACTACGCGCGACTGAGCGAATTCACGCAGCTTTACTTCCTCGCTGGCGAAGCTGGACAAGATAGAATCGAGGGAAACGAATCCATCGCGACAAAGCTGGGCGGAGAGAAGCAGAAGCGAAGAAGGCACCACACCGTCCTACGCCTCATTCCATCGCTTTTCAATCACGTTGTGTGTCTGATAAAACACAAACTTGAATCGCAAAATCCGGGAAATCTCCTCTGTTTTGAACTCGCTGAACAGATTTCGAATCAGCATATATTTCGATGGCTCGAACTCACAAGCGTCTAGAAGCATGTCAAACACACGATTTGGATCGAGCGAGAAGAGTCCGATCGTACTCGAGATTACGGAGAGAAGAGTCGATTCGGTGAGTTTGGACTGATGAAGAAACGTTAACAACTTCGAGTAACCCTCGTTCTCTTCACGAATCAGATTGAACTTGTGTTGAGTGTAGTAACGCTGCGTGTTGATTCGCTTGATTCGTTTTGTAAAATCGTCTTGCTGCGTTAGTCGGAAAAGGTTCAATTTGTCCAGCTCCAGACAAACATTGCACAAACTCGAAGCGAATGATTCTTTGACAAACTAGAAAATGAACAAACCTTATATCTATTACCTTTTGAATCGTTGAAAGCTGAACCATAAGAATTGTTTCTTCCAAATTTGAATCCAAATATCTCCAAAACAGCTCATAGATCAACTCCGTGACAGCATCCGAATCTAGTAAAATTATGATAGAAATGAATAATTCCATACTATTTCTGTCTTGATTTTCATTCAAGAACGATAATATATGTGAGTTTCTAATTACAACCTAATAAGAGCTCCATACATATTTGAATCAAGCGTTCCTTCTTGGTTACCAAATAGGGTTATTGCGAGTATAATAGTGAGAACATCTATTATACTCAACATAGAAATCCAACAGTCTATTCAACACAACTAGTATTTGACTTTCTGTTTCCTAATTTTAGATATTTACAATATATGGTTAATGGACATGTAGAATTACAAGCGATACATGTTAATAATGCTTCTGAAAGTATTCTCTGTGAATGTTGCAAATCAATTTTATATCAAATCTATCAATACTTCAAATGGGGAATATGTTGTTGAAGTAGGATATCCTCACGAGGGATATACAATTCAAACCACATTATTGAATTCTAAATTGAATGGAAAGTCATACATCATTTCAAATGACAATTTGATAATTGTACAACTCTATTTTGATAATGGAATTGTATCAGGTCTTTGTATATTGTTTGATGAATTAGATTACTATTATTATTATTATTATTTACATTCTATTTGGATAATGACTATCGACAAGGAAGGGAACAGAATATGATGAAAATGGAAATATGATAAATAGACGTCAATGAGATGTATCTGGGAGAATGAATCGAATTTGAATTCGTATAATGGAATTGGTTAGGAATATGGATGTGATGGTCAAGGAATCGAATATAGAAGTATGAGAATTCACTAGAATGGAAAATGGATAAATGGTCACATAGGATGGACTTGATGGATTATTCCCTGTGGATTAAATGCAATGTTGGTCATTATTTGTACAATGAAACTAACAATACCTGTTTTCGAAATGAAGGATGATATCAAATAGGTGAAGACGATCCATGATGAAGAGTAGAATTATTGGAATATGGATCGTTTTCAACTCGATCAATCGATCCATTGGAAACTTTGAAGATCGGTGATTATTCTTTCCTTTTTTCCTAGAATTGATCCAGATTGGATTGAAAGAACAGAATTGGTGTCGTTTTTCATATATAGTAGTTTTACTGTAAAAGGAAATCGATTCGAATGTGTCTGTCTAAATTGTGGATTTGCCCAAACTTGAGAAATTAATTGCAGGTCCTGAGTGTTTCAAAGAATGTCGAATCGACATTTCCTAAACGATTCCATGGGTTCAAGCAGAGTTGGATATCGATTCTTCGTTTCGAAAAATCATTTAAGTATCGGAGTCGAACACTAATTTTTCTCTCTCTCTACATCGTTATCTACAACTATGGGAATAGTGGTTGTTTTCTTCGTGCATTCTACCTTCCTTCCATCGATTGCATTCATTGTTTGTATGATCAAAATAAAAACAATATATATTGTGAAACACAGTGATATTCTGTTACAAGAATCGAAATCAACAGAGAATAAAGAAGCTAGATTGTTCGATTCTTGAACTTGCTCATTTTAGTAGATAATCCATTACAGAACTCTGATTCTGTGCCACTATTGTTGAGTAGCATGCTATTAAGTAAGAAACTCTATTGCAAGTAGACAAAGGCTGAGTATCAAGAAACTCACAGTGTATCGTACATTAACCATCTACAATGGCATCATTCAATAATTACAATCACGAATTTTTATTATCCCTATTCGTCCTAACCACTATCACCATTCTTGTGTACAACACTCTGTTTCTATCATCACCTATTTATTTCATTATCAAAAGACAAATAGAATACGATCCAACCCTACAATTCCATCATTTTCACTCAGAAACAATACCCCTGCCCTCTTTTCAGTAGAAACTCTTCTTCCTCTCGTCACATTACTCCCTCTAACAACCTAGATCAATTCCTAGTCGTAAAATTCGACTTCAAGACTTCTCCTCCAAAACAGTGCTCAATATTCACAATTTTCTCCAAAACACTGCCATTTCTTACATGTACATTACAAAATTATCATCCCAAACCAACAACTGTTTTCTACTTGATAATCGCACAACAAACCCATCGGTTCGTCTTCATACATTCACATTCGCTTTCTCAACCACAAATTCATTCTTTTCATATTCTATACAACTCAAATTGGGTCGTTTCTTTCACGTTTTTATCACTATTTATATTTCGTTTTCATTTATTCATGGCTGAAGTTTGCAATACATTTTTAGTGTCATTCTATAGGCAGCTGTTCTAAAAGACAACACAGAAGTGAACAAGGTATATTTGTTGTGGTAATGTGAGTAATAACACAGGGAGCGAATGCTCGACTTGATTCGTTCGTTGGAGCTACTGCGGTTGCAGATTTGTTGAAATCGACTTTAGGTCCTAAAGGTATGGACAAAATTATTCAAAATGTGGTATTTGAGAACAGGTGCGATGTTTAGGTAACGGTGACAAATGGTTCGCTGCTTCTTACAAACGATGGGGCGACCATTCTAAAATCAATCAATGTGGATAACCCAGCGGCGAAGGTTCTTTGTGATTTGGCCCGTATTCAGGACCAGGAAGTTGGTGATGGAACAACGAGGTAAGTAGAAAGGTATTGGTAATATGAAAGTGTTGTGGTGTTTGCAGGTGAGTTACTGCGTGAGGCGGAGAAGCTGATCGATTCGAAGATCCACCCTATGGTGATTTTGGATGGTTGGCGTTTGGCTCAAAATGCGGCACGCGAAGCATTGGAGGCGTCTGCGGTGGACCATTCTGTGGGAGTGTGGAGTGTGTGTGATGGGCAGGGGAACGCGGATCTGTTCTACGAGGATTTGCTGAACATAGCCCGCACGACCTTGTCATCGAAGCTGGTGAATCGGGACAAGGATCACTTCGGTAGGGATGGGGCGTGTGTGTGAGGTAGCTCGGTTGGCGGTGGACGCGGTGCTGCGCATTCGTGAGTCGGGGAACCTGGACTACATCCAGATCCTTCAGAAGCCGGGCGGCTCGCTGCAGGACTCGTTCCTGGAGGAAGGATTCCTGCTGGAGAAATCGTTCGGCGTGGGTCAGAAGCACGAATGGGTGCATCCGAAGATCCTGGTGGCGAACACGTCGATGGACAGCGACAAGATCAAGGTGGGTGTGAGGAAGGACTTCGATGGTAGATCAACAGCACGCGCGTGCGTGTGGACAGCATCGCGAAGGTGGGCGAGATCGAAGAGGCGGAGAAGGCGAAGATGCGCGCGAAGGTGAATCGGATTCTGGCGCACGGGATGGACGTGTTCATCAGTCGCCAGCTGATCTACAACTACCCCGAGCAGCTGCTGACGGACGCGGGGAAGGGGAGCATCGAGCACGCGGACTTCGAGGGCGTGGAGCGTCTGGCTGCGGTGCTGGGCGGTTTGGGTTGGGGCAGGCGTCGAGGGTAGCGGACATCGTGTCGACGTTCGACAGTCCGGAGAGCGTGCGTCTTGGCGAGTGCGAGAAGATCGAGGAGGTGATGATCGGGGAGGACAAGGTGCTTCGGTTCAGCGGGTGCAAGGGCGGCGCGGCGTGCACGATCGTGCTCCGCGGCGCGAGCTCCCACCTGCTGGAGGAGGCGGAGCGGTCGCTGCACGACGCGCTGGCGATTCTCCAGCAGACGCTGCGCCACCCCGAGCGAACGCTGGGCGGCGGGTGCGCGGAGATGGCGATGGCGGAGGCGGTGGACCGGCTGGAGCCCCAGGTGTCCGGGAAGAAGGCGCTGGCGGTGGCGGCCTTCGCGCGCGCGCTGCGGCAAATCCCCACGATCCTGGCCAACAACGCGGGACTGGACGGCGTGGAACTGACCGCCCAGCTGCGCGCGGCGCACCACGGAGGCGCGAAGAACGCGGGATTGGACATGTAGGGACGCAGAGAGAGCGGTGAAGGGTAGCGAGGGACGCGGAATCGGAGACATGGAAGCTCTCGGCATCTACGAAAGCCTCCAGCTGAAGAGACAGGTACTTCTCTCCGCCACCGAGGCCGCGGAAATGATCGTACGCGTCGATGAAGTGATAAAGAGCGCGCCGCGTGAACGAATGCCCGACGCTGGCAGACATTAACTCTTGGGTTATTTTGGTGGACGTTGTTTGAGAAACAAACAAGCAGGAGAGTAAAGTTCAGGCTCGGGATAGTGCTGCCAAGGAAGCTGAGCCTTCTCCAAGCAGTTATCGATGGTGATTGTTCCTCAATGTTCACAAGCAGCATGAAATGGATACACTCACAAATTGGAGAGACAATATGGGAAGAACTAGTTCCAATTAGCGATGTTTCTATAGGCTGTGAAACGACTGAGAAAGCACTATCTGGAGAGGTCTTGACTAATTATTGTTGGTTGAGAAGTACTCTTTTTTTGATAACATTATGACAAAGAACCAGTCTTCTTCAGAAGTGCATAATATACGTTTTAGTATTATTATGAGCTCGGGTTCTTCCTGTATTATGCACCCACTTCAATACGGATGGGTTATTTATGAACAAATACAGTTCTACAATGAATCGGATAAGAAAAAGGGATACAAAAATTCTTTTACTTATGTTTGTAAGTTCACAAATGTAGAAGGATTCTGGTTGAATTGGAACAAGTTAGAGAACGTGACGTACCTCTCTTGCCAAGTTCTAATATCTAGTAATATGTTTTATGACGGAGAGTCCAGAGTCATCAAAAGAATTGATATCACCTGCCCAACGGATCAGCCAAAAGACATTAGTGTAGAAATGTGGAATACTGAGTAATAATGACGTAGATTGAAGGACAGAGTATCTTCAAACTCGGAGTTGAACCTCTCTGGGAAGATCCTATTAATGAGAATGGTGGTGAGCTTCGAGTGACCTTGAATGGTATATTTTATATTTCAAATTAACTTTAGTCACTACTCATAAAACGCTTGCAAAGTTTTGGGAATCGATCGTAGTCCTTATGATTGGTGGCAGTCTGATTGACTGTGAAGAGATTTGCGGAGCTCGTATTTTAGATAAAGTGAATCTATATTATGTTGTGTGATATGTAGAGCAAACCAAAGAGGAAGATTATTGAGTATCGTTTGGAGATCTGGTTCAAAGATTGGTCAAATGAAAAGTTTAAGGAAGCTCTGAAGAGCCGTGTCCTCGATATTTGTAAGGAGTATGATTATAAACCGGACATTAGTTTCGTGAGGCACGAGAAAGCCAAATATGTATGGATTGTTTGTTTTACCTATTAAAATTTGTGGGATCCCACGTTGAACTAGAAAGTCTCAATTCTTACCTTAAAAATGTCAGATTTTTCGGATGACGACTTGAATGATGAGAAGCCGACGATGTCTATGCCGAATGTAGGAAAAGAGTATCATCTTTTCATATTAGTTCTCTCACTTTGGTGCTCATGATTTGAAAGATGTCACCATTGATCTGCTTCGAGTCGGTATAAGAATTATTCTTTTTTGTGAGTTTAGTTGATGATGACCGAATAAAGAAATTACTCAGTGAATTTAAGGAAAGGAATATTAGTCCAGCGGTTTGTTTTCTTTTTACTTTGTTCATTGTAGATCAATCAGGTTATCGATTTTATTTTAGAAGGTGACGTCGATGTCAAAGCTTGGAGGACGTTTGCCTATTTAATTCGAGACCTGCCTTTGGAGGATGCGAGACGAGGATATGAAATTCTATTCGAACGTTTTCCTTGCTGTGGAGACTACGCGAAGCAGTACCTAGAATTGGAAAAGAGAAATAACAATCATCAAATGGTTCTCGATGTGCTCTGTCAGGTGTTTGTTGAATGTAGACACTTCGCCGTCTCCTCCCTTACTGCGTGAACATCGATATCTGGGAATTCTATTGCAAATACTTCGAAGACACTCTAATGAAGGGCAAAATCGGCAAGGAGTTCAGAGAAGCCTTCGAAGAAGTAATTTCCTCCTTCCTTTTCCCAAAATAGGTCGAGAAGGTGTACCAATACGCCGTGGACACAGTGGGCTTCTTCATCGATAGCGATTCTCTCTGGTGGGACTACCGCGAGTTCCTGAAGAAATACCTGCGCGACACCTCCGACCGCTCGCAGCGCAACAACCCCAACGCTCGTCTTCGCCGCTTCTTCCAGAAAGCGGTGGTGATCCCCTTCCACAGTATATAGTTCGTTAGGGAGATTTACCGCAGATTGCGACTCGATCTGGAAGGAATACACGCTCTTCGAGGAGCACAGCGTGGAAACGCACGACCCCGCGCAGAAGCGATCGATCGCGAGCAAGCAGCGCTCCGTGGTGGAGGACAAGCACAAGCTCGCGGAGGACGTGTAGAACCGCGCGGGTGGAGTGAGGCGCAGGTACAAAGAGCGCTCCGAAGTGTGCCAGCTGATCACGTGGAACCTGCTCCCCATGCGCGTGCTGACCCCCGAAGCCATCAAGCAGGTGGATTACTGGAATCGCTACATCGAGTGGGCCCGGCGCTCTGTCCGTTCACTCGCGTAGATTCGAGGCGTCGAACCCCATGCATCTCTCGCCGGAGCGGCTCTACCACTTCATGCACATGTCCTACCTCCGCTGGCTGTCCTGCTGCTATTTCTGCCCCGACGTCTGGATCTCCTTCGCCAAGTTCGAGGCCCAGTTCAGCTGGGAGCGCGCCAAGGCGGTGCTCGACAAGGCCGTCGCCGCGATTCCGCACTCGCTTCTGCTCCGCACGGCGTACTGCGACTTTTTGGAGGAGCACCATCACATCGACGACGCGCGAAGCCTCTACGAGAAGACGCTCCGCGAGTTCCAGGAGCCCGTTTTGTGGATCTTGTTCATGCAGTTCGAGCGTCGACAGCGCGGAGCGGACGCAGCGCGAAGCGTTTTCTTGAAGGGGCGCTCGGCGCTCTGCCATCCTTCGCTTTATCTCGCGGCGGGTCGATGTATCGATCGGTTCTCATGCGTAGCCGATCTGGAGCGCAACGCCAACCGCGATCCGAAGCAGGGACTCGCCATTCTGCGAGCCGGAATGACGCATTTCCAGCGGGACGTGCAGTACATCGTCGGCTTTGCCGAGTATCTTCAGAAAATCGGAGATGCCTCCAATGCCTTCGCCTTGCTCCAGCAGTCGCTCGAGCGCGTGGATGAGGCCGGGAAAGCCGTTCTCTGGGACAAGATCATTCTGTTGCAGGCGCAGTTCGCGCTCGATAGCGATATTAACCGAGTGCTCGATCTGGAGAAGCAGTTTCGTCTGCAGGTTCCGTCGAAGACAAATGCTGGAATCCTGCTGGATGTCGGGAGATATATGCTGTGGGGCGTAATGATTTGGAGGGAGATGAATGGTAGGGAGAACTTGTGTCTTTGGAGGATCGCGAATTGCTGAAGCGACGATTCCCGGATGAACCGAAGCAGGAGGAGCAGCCGTTTAAGCTGTTCGAGATGGACCAGAGTTTGTTGAGTTCGGGGGAGAGAAGAAGTGGAGCTGGGTATGACTCGCATGTTCCCTTGTGGATTATCAAGTTTGTGAGCAAGTTGCCTCCTGATGGAATGAAGTCTGCGCGTGGAGATACGGTGGACAATGTGATGGGAAGACTTTTGGGTTGGAACATTCCAAAAGTGGAAGATATCTTGATATGACTTGTTTGTATTGAAACCAGAGATATGATTGGATCGGGCCCGATTCTTGTTATTGGGACATTCGAAATCTCATCGTTTCTTCATTTTTGTAAACGATGAAATCCTACCTGATCTTTGGCAGTACTAGACGCATTTCATTTTCTCATGGCTAGTCTTGGTTGCCGTTGTTTGCGCTACTGGTTGTTTTCGATCGAATGTGGCGGCTCCCGAACATGTGAAGTCGCCTCTTCCGCAGAATTACGTTCGCTCCGGACAACTTCCCAAGAACTATGATCCGTAAGCTATTCTGGATCAAATCTCACGAATAGTCGTAATATCAATGGCCTGAATATGGTGAGTGTCAACAAGAATCAGCATATCCCTGTTTGGTGTGGATCGTGCTGGGCATTCTCGGCTACTTCCGCTGTGTCGGATCGTTTGAAACTCATGACGAAAGGAGCCTGGCCGGAGCATGATCTCTCCGTCCAGGTGGTTATTAACTGCGCAGATAATGCGGAGGGCTGCGGAGGTGGTCATCCCACGGATGTTTACCGTCTGATGAACGAAATGGGTGTTCCGGCGGAGGGCTGCATGCGCTACGAAGCCAAGAACATGGAATGCACGGACATCAACATTTGCCGTGATTGCGATATGGATCATGGCTGCGTCGCTGTGAAGAATTATACGAAGTACTACGTGGAGGAGTATGGCAACGTCAATGGCGAAGAAAACATGATGAAGGAGATCTACGCGCGCGGTCCGATCACCTGCGGAATTGCCGTTCCCCAGGACTTCGTGGACTACAAGGGCGGTATCTACAAGGACGAATCGGGCGCCGTGGAGAAGGTGCACGCGATTTCGGTGGTCGGTTGGGGCGAAGAGAACGGCGAGAAATACTGGATCGGCCGCAACAGCTGGGGCAATTACTGGGGCGAGGAGGGCTGGTTCCGCATTGCGCGCGGCATCAACAACCTGGCGATCGAGTCGGAGTGCCAGTGGGCGGTTCCGAAAGTCCCCGAAGCGAGGAAGAGCCGCGAGTTCCGCCGCCGCGAATTGCTGCTGCACGTGCGAGAGGGCTGCGTGGATAAGAGCCGCGCGGTGAACAAGGAGCACGTGGTGTCGCCGCTGCCGCACACCTATCTGAAGGCGAACGATCTGCCCGCGAGCTACGACATCCGCAACGTGGACGGCGTGAACTACGCGACGTGGAACCGCAATCAGCACATCCCGGTCTGGTGCGGATCGTGCTGGGCGCAGGGATCCACCGCCGCGCTCTCGGATCGCATCAACATCATGAGAAAGGGCGCGTGGCCTGCGGTGAACCTCGCAGTGCAGGTCGTGCTGAACTGCGGCGACGCGGGATCGTGCCATGGCGGCTGGGACGACGGCGTGTACGCCTACGCGCACGAAGTGGACATTCCCGATCAGACCTGCCAGCCCTACGAGGCGGTGGACCACGAGTGCTCGCCCGAGAATATCTGCAGGAACTGCGATCCGGAGAAATGCTGGGCGGTGACGGACTACAAGGTGTACAAGATCTCCGAGTATGGTCGCGTGAGAGGAATCGATGCGATCAAGGCGGAGATTTTCGCGCGCGGACCGGTGTCGTGCTCGATGACGGTGCGCGAATCCTTCCTGGATTATCATGGAGGCGTGTATGAATCGGATAGCAGCCCCATGGTGGCTGGACACATCGTGGAGATTGCGGGATGGGGCGTGGAGAACGGACGGCCGTACTGGATTGGACGCAACAGCTGGGGCGAGTACTGGGGCGAGGAAGGCTGGTTCCGCATTGATATGGAGAAGGACAGCGGAATCGGATCGGACTGCGGATGGGGAGTTCCGATCATCGATTTTTGAGTTGTTTGTTGAACAAACAATTGATTTTGGAAGCTTTTTGAGCTGCTGGACAGAGTAATGCGCGGTCTTTAGCATCTGTAGAATCAAAAGAGCGAGGAAAGATTACCAGAAGAAGCCAGGAAGTAGTTCCCGCTTCGCGGATCTGCTGGCTCGTCCACCACGCGAAGTCGCGATGCTTCGGAGTCTTCGCCTCCTCCACAGTTCCCGAAAACACCGACAGCAAGTGGACTCGATGGGAAAATACGTGCTTCACCGTCGAATGGAATCGAAGCGAAACCTCTGGAAGCCCTGGAAGTTCGCTTCGCAGCGCCGCTTCCATCTCTTCCTTCTTCTTCATTTCCTCCGGAATTCGCGCCAGCAGCGGTTCCAGTTGTCCGGTTAGGATGGGATCTGTGCGGCGATGCAGCCACAGCGCTCCTTCCCGCTCCTTGCTCTCCAACTACATCAAAATAACCCGTTCAGTCCGCACCACCAACACGACGTAATGTTCAGTCGGAACCTGCTTCGACTGCGCGGCCAGCGGGTACAACTCGACGCTTTCGATGGCTTTCTACATCGCAACGCACGTTGAATCGTACCGGATAATCGCAGCACACGCCACAGCTCGACTCCACGCGTTCCTCCCCGCCCTTTTTCCCCTCTGCCGCCAGTTTCGCCGCCTTGCAGAACTCCTATTCGTCGTGCTTCCCTTCCATTCCCACTCTCAATGGACAGCTGGAGCACGAGGGAGACTGCGGAGTACACACGACTGCCCCCAGCTCCATGATTCCCTGCGTGTAGTCAGAGGGAGGCGCATGCGCCACCAGCTGCTCCGCTGTTTTCCAACACCACTGGATGAATTCTTTCTGCGTTTTGATCTGGTAAACGGCGCGGAGTCGCGAGAGAACGCGCATCACATTGCCATCCACCGCTGCTTCTGGCTTGTTGAATGCGATCGACAAGATGGCTCCCGCGGTGTAGTCGCCTACGCCCGGGACTTTCTGGAGTTCTTCCTTTGTGGATGGAATTTCGCCGTTGCAGTGCTCCATGATGTACTACAATCAAGTCGAGGTAATATATCACCAACGCGAGCACCTTTCACCAGATACTGGGCGCGTCGGTAGTAGCCCAGACCGGACCAAAGCGAGTTGACTTCCTCCTCGGTTGCTTCTGACAGCGACTTGATTGTAGGAAAGTGCTGCATCCACTGAATATACTTGTCAATCACCGTGTCAACTCTTGTTTGTTGCAGCATTATTTCCGACACATATTCCGTATAGCCAGTAATGCCATTCTTTACAAAATCATATTCTTGAGCTTCTTCAGGCTTCGATTCGACTTTGCGCTTTTTCGGAGTAAAGAAACTTGTCAACGAGGACTGATTCTTTGCCGTTTTGGAAGAAGTCTTCACATCCGCAGTTTTAGAATACGGAGGTTGGTCCCCTCGCCAGGGTAGTTTTCTTCGGTTCTTTTGATACCACTGAACAATTCGGTCGGTCACTTCCTTGATTTCCTCTTCTGTGAACGCATGGAAATCCTCTGTGTGATTTATATAGTCTTCAATATCACTCCCCATGAAAGGAAATCAATATTGAAAGATTGATGTTCAACAAAGAAGAGAATCAAAAAAGTAGTTCAATTTCGCAAAGGCTTTAACTTGCTTGGGTCAACTATCTGAATCATTTTTCGAGCCATTATCCAAGAAGGATTCAAAATAGGAATCCCTCGATAAACTGACTCCGAAATCGCTAAAGGAATCTCTGTGCATCCCAGAAGAATCGCGTCGCAATTCTCTTCTATTAGCTCGTCCATCACGGAGCACACTTTGGAATGGACATACTGCCTATCAAACGTTGGAGACTTGGCTCCCCTTCACATGAGAATCTTCGAAAGCCGCTTACCATTGCTCATTAAAAATACAACTTGTAATGATAGACTGCTGATCGTCATTCAAATACACCAGCGATATGCCCTGTTTCGACATATCATCTTCAAAGGGTCTGACATGACGCGTTCCATCGGTGGACATGATCCCCACCCGCCTCAAGTGAGGATACAGAGTGCGAACGAATTCTACTGTAGCAGAGATAATGCTAACCAGCTCAACTTCAGGAAACCTTGATTTCACTCCCTGTTGGAAAACCGAAAAAACCGATGGACAATGAAAGGTGATGCACGCTACGCCGATGACGACTCGCTTGTATGTGCGAACTATGCATTCTAGCTGAGATTGCAAAAAATCCAATACAGACTCGCCTGGATTTTTGCAACTCTTTCCCAGGACATAGTCAACTCTGTTTCCGATACTTCTTGGGTAGGAAATGATAAGACTATTGAGATTGTCCTGGTCAGTCCCATTTGTGGTGGTATTCTCTAAAACGTACTTATAGCACTCAATTCCAGCCATGGGGCCCATTCCACCCACAATGACAAGAACGCTTTCATCACACACTATAGGAGAATTCATGACAGGAAATAGGAGAATAGAGATAAAGCAAAATTTTAAACCTAAAAGAACAAGAAAACTGAGGGAATAAACAAAAAGAAAATAAAACAGTGTTTTGCTCCTCATCTATTTGTTCTCTTGACCTCAATTGTCGGTGATTACCCATAAAAGGGTGTAGAGATGTTATGGAGGAAACAAGGATGGTAGAGCCATAATTCAGAGCCATCTCAATGGCTTGCCTTGCCAACACCACCATCATGAAGAAACCAGCACGAGCATTGTATCCAAACCGAAATTTCAAACTCTGTACATAAGTGGAAACTCTAGAATGTTAGGAGAAAAAATACAAAATACAATTTTATTTATTTTACTGGTGCTTTTAGAGAGAATGCCTCTGCCTGATATGATCTATATTTACTATGGTTCCGAAATGGGAACGGGAGAAGGTTTTGCTGAAGACTTGGGTAAATTTTTAACCGAAAAGGGAATAAAGAACACGGTTCTTGATATTGACGAATTCGAAGAATCTGAAATTGTCGAACAGCCCCTGTGCATCTTCTTCTTTTCGACTTACGGTAATGGAGTTCCTACACGTTTTTTCTCATTTCTTTTATGAATTTCAGGTTCCTCGCGAGCTTTCTTTGCATGGATGAAGAGCAACTGTGGTGATCCTACCGTAATGGCCAAAGTCCAGTACGCCATGTTTGGTCTTGGTGATCACAATTATCCCCACTACCAGTCAGCCTCGATTGTACTCTTTTCTCTCTCTCTCTTTAAAGTGTAGCTTGCTGACGGACTGCTTCAGAAGATGGGAGCGCGTCCTATCATGGAGCTTCGCAAGGGAGACGCTGCCGAAGACATCGATGGAGACTTCCAAACCTGGCAGAACGACCTCTATCAGAAGCTTTTGACTTTGTAAAGTGAATGATGTGAATTGCATCGAACCATGCCATGCTTCGTCCGATTTGGTCCGACTGGACTTGTTTTGGTTTGATGCACTCTGCTTGTTGCAATGTTTGTTCGAACAAGGATTTGGGAATTGATGTGGGTCGTGAACAAATACTTATTTCTGGTGCTTTCTCTGCACTTCTTCGTACGAAAGAGGCTTATAGAAAATGACGGGCCTCGACTGGGTTTTTCGGAACAGCTGGTCAACCGATATTACCTCCACCTTCTGACTAGGCTTGCTTACCTCTCGCTGAGGACGCTTTTGCGACGAGACTGGCCTTTTGGGCTGCATCTCTGCGGCTGTGATGGTAGTTACACGCACATGCAACCTTTTCTGACTCCCTTCAGGAAATTGGCAGCCATCACTACATTGTTAGCTTATTCAAGGAACATACAGATCCTTTAGCACTTTCATCGCGTCTTCTACGTTCTTATACGTAACATAACAGAAATTTCGAGAACCGCTCAAAAAGAAATGTTCTTCTGTGTTGATAGGCTTTACCACTCTGGAAACAAGTTCCTTTATGTCCTCGATCTGGGAAGATCGGGTGAATCCGTCAATATATAATGTGGTTGGCTTTTCCTCTGCCTTTTCTTCCTCTTTCTCGACTTTGGGTTGAGAAACTAGTGATGAACGGCAAAAAGCGTTCTCCCACCTTCTTCTTCATCGTTTTCGTAGTCTACGTGTGTCTCTTCCTTGTTCATCGTCTCAGCAGAGATTCTAGACTTTTGTTTGGATTATTCTCACCAACTGTTGATTCACGAATTGAATGATCCCTCTTACGCAGTTTGCATTCAATGCTACCGTTCGGTTGAATGTGGAAGATTTTGAGATTCCCTGGTCTGAGGCCATTGATATGACCGTTGAAGAGTATAAGGTGCAGAGTAGGGATCTGTCATTTTATGTCGAGCATAGGGTACGATTTATCAAAGATTAGTACATCCATCGATTTTGTGCAATTCGATAGTTCTGCAGCCGAAGCAAAATTGAAAGAGTTGCTCACATTAGACGCGTTCGACAAAGTTGCTGATTCTGTGGAACAATGCTTTGTATTGTCCACCAAATTATTGAGTGCGAGTATCTTTGTAAAGGGGTTTAAACAGATTGTGAGATTAACATATAGAGGTTTTGTGCGCCACTGTTATGACCTGCTCGACAAGGATGCATCGATCAGTCTTTTGATTCGATATCTAGATATTGTTACGATTTGCATACAAGCGGATGGATTCAACACAGACGACATGGTCTGCATTTACCCAATCGTGTTGAAAGGATTGTCTAGCGATGATGACGAATTCGTAAAGCACTCTCTCACAAGCCTACAGACGATTCTCCAACAGAGAGGAGAACGACACGCTTGCTATTCTTTTCGAATCGATCAGATTCTAATCGATCTTCTTCCAGTGGATCACTTCAAACCATTGCGATACTTGACTTTTTCATGCCTTCTTTTGTATTTACAAGGTAGATCTAGAGTTGGGAGATCATTCAAGAGGAAAAGGACGAAGAGAATGCACAGGAGAGAAAAATGCAGCGACTGAATGCAATGGCGAAGATTGACAGCATTCTTGACATCTTCGTCACACAGTTCGATGTACGAGTCGTTAGGATAGAATCACCAACAGAGCTTGGAAAATGATGTAGAAACCCGCTCAATGGCTCTCCGAATGCTCGCAATCCTTACACGAGACGAAACCATGTGCAAACAATTAGATGAAATGGGAATTCTATCAAAATGCGAGAGTTTTGTATTGAATCAAATCCATTCGCCTTCGGTGATGTTTGTTTTGAAGCGTTTTCACGATGTAGAATCGATGTGTTTCGATTGTTTACATCGCTGAGTCGCTCCGATTTGCTGAAACAACGCGTTTTTTCCATTCTATCTGCCGTGTTGAGAGATCTAATAAATCGATATCAATCCAATCTAGCCGTGATGAAAAGCGTAGTTTCTTTTGCTGATTGAATGATTTGAAAGTTGATCGAGTTGTTGGGAGGCTGCACGCTACGAAACGCAGAGGCTTGCTCGTGTTTGACAGAGCATCACAAGTTTGAATTGATTTGTTTCCGACTAATGAAAAATGCAAAGAATGATCGCAAGTTTGTTCTTCATTCTTGTCTGTTGCTTCGAACTCTTCTCTCGAATTGCCACGATAACGAAGAGGAATTGGTGAAGGCGGGATTGATGGAGTTCTTGGATTCCGTGAAATCGATGGATTCTGCAGTCAACATCGCAGTGGTGCAGCTCAAACGGAGCATTCTCAGCGTTCCCTTCACTCCATGGCGTGTTTGATTCAACAAACAGTGGAGATTACAAGTTCATCTTCAAAGAACGATTCCACACACTGACAGACCGCTTTATAACTCTCCACGATCGCGAAAATCTCGCTCTTCGTGTTGTGATTCATCAACCGAATCACCTTCTCCTTCAAGCTGATCTGCACGAACTCCTTTAACGACCCATCCACATAACCAATCACACTCTCCGAGTACACAAACACGCGATAAAACTCCTTTTCGATCAATGCACAGAAATACTCCAAATTCACATCGCTCAACGCGATCTCATACGAATAAAACAGAGGTGAGACAGCGTCATTCAATGGCCGGATGAGCTCATCGGGGTACTGCAAGCAGAGGAAATAAGCGCGCGTCGCTCGCTTTCGGAACTCTTCCATGACCTTTCGCACCGTGGACAGCGAAGCCACCGCCCAGTAAATGTCGTAATTGATGCGCTCTCCCTGCGTGTATTTGCTTCGGATCGTGATGAACACCGTCTCATAATCGATCGTAATCGGAATCAGCAGAAGCTCTCCGTCCTCTCCCGCGGGGATCAGAGGAATTTCTGGAAAGGCCTGATGAAGAGAGGAATAAAACAGATCGTAAAGAGCGTGTTTGGAGTGCGAATTCAGCAGAACAAAATGAGCTCGATGGAAATGACGACTGCTCTGCACGGCTTTCACGCTGAGCGAACTGATCACGAGCGACTGCACGTGGGAGAAGCAAATGGGAGGCGTACGCTATCGAGTTTGTTCCAGTCGATGTTCAGTTGACTCAGATCGATTCGCTTAAAAACCGCGATCGGAGAAGACGGATGTTCGAATAGAATTTCTTGCGAAGCGACTTCCACACGTGGACCGCGCGACTGAGCCTTAGGAACCGCGGAAATCGCTTACTTGCAGATCGATGACCACATTATTGTTTCCATCCACTGATAATTTGTGTTCCTCTCGGTGGTATAGCACCATTGTGGCGGCGTCGAGGGATAAATACGACGGAATCGACTGAATGAACACGCACCCCAACAAAAGAAACGCCTTTGAATTGAAAGTTGTACGACAAACGGAGTCGAATGAAGTCGATGAGAAGCCGATCGCGTGGCTGATGACTGCTGATGATGTTGTTCCCTTTCACTCCTTCTCCCAAATCGGACTTCGCCAGTTCTTCCGAAACGACCAGCGGAAAAATCGAAGGGCGAACCAGCGATCGAACGAAGAGCTTTGTGTACTACACGTTTCGTTTCCCTGCAAAATCCCACTTGATTGTCGTATTCTCGGTTGATCCAGAACAGAATATCGTCGTTATTCTGAATGCTACGCATGATAGAACGCCTTTGTGATCTACCTCTGCTTCGAATAGTCCTCGATATACACGTTATAAGGTCGGTTTCGCACACTCTGGGTGAAGAAAGTCAAGTCCGGCGAGCTCACCACCATGTGAAGCAGCGAATCACTCGGATGAGTCTCTCCAGCTTCTACTCTTTATCGAATTCGAATCGAATTCACCTCGCAGCGATCCAAACGGTTCGTGTCTACGATTTATTCCTTTGCATCCAATTCGAACAGAGTCGATTCCTCGCTTTCGCGAACGTTCTTATCCAGTCCAAAGCTGCTATCCAAACTGAATTGCGCTCCAGGCGTTCCGCTCGTTTGGGACTGCAAATCCTGATAGCGTTGACTGTGTGAAACCTACGCTTCTCAAGATTCAGAACAAGAAACGTTGGCCAAGTCGGGAGAAAAGGCGGAAGGATCGTTTTCATCACCCGAAAGAATGCCTTGAAGCGGCAAATCGTCGAAGTAAACTCGACTGGACAGAGCGGAAGGGAGTTTGGGAAGCACTGAATACAAGAGAGAAAGGAATGCAAACAAACAGAATCAACTTCGAGGATGGGACGAAGCAAAGCGCATTGCTTATAGAAACCTTGAAGCTGCTTTTGAATCTGATCGATACTGCCTTTGCATTTATTCACATCCACGGATTGAACAAAATCTATTTCAGAAATCGGCACCATTTTGATTACCATTGGTTTCGGTTCGATAGAAAATCGCCTGCATAAACCCAGGAACGATCGAATCACTCTTCTCTACTGAAAATCTGAAAATCACAGACAGGTAAATCACCAACCGAAAAAGAGGAGCTTGAAAGGGTGAAATGGGAGCAACCGAAACCAAATCCACGCCCACAGCAGCTTCGTGAAGATTGTCCTGTGTCATCTGCGTTCGAATTCGGATAGAAAAGATACGTTATAGGAAACTCGATCATCGATATAAATTGGAACGGAAGGTGTGATAACGATAATGTGGGATCCATTCATGTCAAACAATGGATTTCGTTTGTTTTGTTTGATATCCTTAAGAATGACATTGAAAGCAATGAGTGGAGAAGAATAGTGCGAAGGAGACAAAACAACTAGGTTCCATCGATTCAAAATCGTTACATTTATCCGAAGAACTCTCTCCGAATTGATTGCAAACGATGGGGACTTTGCTATTTCTCAATCTCCCACACAAAAACAAACAAATCCGAGTCAATATAACTAATAAACTTGCGGATCTCGATCTTCACGTCTTCCAAATCGTCCGTTCGATCTTTACACAACACCTATTATTCTGAGCAAAATAACCCCGATTTTTGTACTTTCACAAACGGCTTTCTGGATTGTTGCTCAATAATCGACTCCCCATGAAACATGT